GTTATACATCCTTCACCATCTTTTTATTCCAGACTGTTTGTTGTTCCCAAGAAAACTGGGGATTGGAGACCTGTCATCGATTTGTCCCACCTCAATTGCTTCATTTAACTGCCCCGTTTTACATTGGAGTAATTTCTTACCCAATAGTTGGCATTTTCTCCTGGCTTATGGAAGACCAAGATGGACGTTGCCAATGCTTATCTCCACATCCCCCATATCACCACAGTCTCTTCTGTATCTTCAGTTTGTCCATCATGTGGTGGTTTATCAATTTTGCACCCTACCCTTGAGGCTTGCTTCTGCCTCTTATGTTTTCTATTGGGTAGTCAGAGCTTTTGCTCGTTATCTTCATGCTCTGGGGTTTGATTCTACCATTATATGGATGACTGGCTTCTTCTCGCTCATTTCAAACTGGAATTGGCCAGCCATACTCGTCAGCTCATTCTAGTGGCTGCTCATGTGTGCTAGTTAATCAAATTGGGGAAGTCCTTCCTCCAACCTACCCAGTATTTCATCCACTTGGGTGTCATTTTTGACACTCACCTCTGTCGTGCACATATGCAATCTCTTCAGTGAGTTCTTCACGATCAATGGAACCTTGCTCGGGATACCTTGTCAACTCCCATTATCCTTCCTCCTTCTCTGATGAACGATCTGCACAGGTGGTTAGACAAGGCCCATATGTTGGTGGGCATCCCACTTTCTCCACCTTGTCTGGATTTACATCTTTTCACAGGCACATCCCTTCAGAGTTGGGGTGCATGGGTCAATCACCAGGAGGCTTCGGGTCATTGTCTGTAGATGAAAGGTCAACATCCTTGAGCTTCTCGCAGTGCACTGGGCTTTGAATCACTTCCTTCCTCTTGCCAGATACTGTATTATGGTAGCAAATATTCATCACCAAGGAGCCACCTGGTCGAGATATCTATGTTTTCGAACATTGGACTACTATTTTGGGCCCACATGCACCACATTAAACTCATTGTGTGTCATGTTCTGGGTACTTTCAATCTTGTAGTGGATTGTCTTTCCAACTCCAACCAAATATATCCAAAGAAGTGGTCTTTAGATCCCCTCATTTTCCAGTGGCTTTGAAATTGGTTGGGTTTTCCCTACATAGATGCATTTGCCACATACCTCAATCACAAGTTACCCCTCTTTAGGTCCCCAGAACCTCAGGCTCTGGCTTCAGCCAGGAGTGGTCCCTCAACTTCCTTTATGTTTACCCTTCTATCAGATTACTTCAGCTCTCTCATCCATACCACTCCATGTCGAGTCCTTCTGATTGCTCCTTGTTGGCCAGCTCAACAGTGATTTCCACAATTACAACAACTGCAACTTTCCCTCCAGTACCTGTTCCTTTGTGTCTCTCCCTTATTCGACAATTCTGATCACTGGTTCTACATCCAGCCATTCACTTCCTTCATCCTCGGGCCTGGGTTTTATCAGGTCCTTGGTAATAAGATTAGGTATCTATCGAGTAACTCTCCTTTTAGCTCATTCCATATGTCCTTCTTTAAATGAGGTGTATCAGCACAAATGGAAAGTGTTCCACTGTTGATTTGCGGCTCGGGGATTTTGTACTGACTGATCTACTGTGGCTTGAATGGCAGAGTTTCTGACATGGCTTGTCAACTAGCGTTTGTGGTCTCCTCGCTCTCTGGATATCATGCTATCTTATCCCATACTTTTCGTTTTTGCTTCCCCTGTCCATACCATGCTAATGCTTTCATTCCCGATTAATCATCCCCCTACTCTTCCAGACTGGGATATTAATGTGGTCCTTCATTTGAACCTCTTTCCTCGTGTTCCATGTTTCACGTATCCCTTAAAGCATATTTCCTTCTCCTCTTAGCCTGTGGACATCGAAGATCTGATTTTTTTGCTCTTAATGCTTCACGTATGCTTTACTATCCTATCTATCTTCTCATTTATCCGTTAGGTGTAGTACACATGCCCGACTGTAGGATTTCCTCCAATGGCTGACGAAGAAGAGATGAGGGGGGAAAAGATGAGGCGTTAAATCTGATGAGAAGAGATCTCGAGCAAATTTCGGGAGGAAGAAAACAAGGAAGAATAAGCCAATTGAATAAAAAGTCAAATCCAAATTGTGATGGTAGAAGGGGAAAGATCCCCAAAAGAGGAAGACTGTCAAGGAATAGAGAGTCAGGAATGGGTACAACAGAAGAAAGCCATGCAGGCAATATAACAAAAAAGAGTAAGGACAGGACATACATACAAGTTTATCCAGATTGGAATGGGGTAGAGATGAGAAATAGAAGGTAGGGAAATAGATGAAAAAGGGGAGTTACATTCCCTAGCCGCCGAGATGTTTGAGAGGAATGAACGATCTACTTTTGTCTCCCATTATTTACACCATATTGCAGTTTCTTCTTTGTAGGGTTTTTATTTTCCACCTGTGGCCATTCTTCAGGCTTCAGTGCAACTTTGACTGGGTAAGTTTATATTCATACTTGATTTTCCTTTCAGAGGCCCGCTTTGTGGTGAGTGGTACTCAACCAGGTATTCTTCAATCAGAAATCTTCACTGTACAGCCAATATGGCTTGTAGGTGAATAACTTTGCAATGTAATTACTTCATAAACTTGCCCGTTCCAGACCATACCATCCATGCACTGCATGTGTAAAGCAGAAGGGGATCGCTGCTTATTACTACCATGCCTTGTATTGAATAAATTGGAATGGTCTGCTTTTCAAAATAGGGTTTTATGGTCACTCATTGTACTGTGTCAAGTGATGACGTTCCTCTGGACTCTTCATCAAGTTCTCATCTCCCTTTCTTCTACTTTAGTGTGGGAGTCCTTATCACTTTACAGTTCCAAGCCACTGGAGTGGTCGACTATGGAGGCACCCTGCTGAATGGGTTCTACACAAAGATAGCTATAACCATTCAGTACACAGTAGGGCAGTAGTGTTCCACTTGTGTAGATGATGTGCTATCCTCCAATATGCAGTATACACTCACAAAGAAGTGAGATGTCAAATTGAAATTCATCCCTTGATTGGGAGTCCTCATCATAATTCCACATGGATGTCAGTACCCTGTGGCCGGGTTTAGGATGTAGAGTAGAACCAATCAACATAAGTCCTCACACATGTTTATGGTTGTCTATATTCCTCCATCGATCATACACCTTCTTTGTTGTGGGTTACAGAGGAGTTAAGGGGGGATTGTTCCAGTTCTGTCCTT